TTCTTCGCGCTGATTAGATTATATTTTTAGATTTAGGGAGGATAGTTCTATCTCAGCAGACAATCATGAAACGATTGCAAAAACTGTTGTGTTTTGCTAACGCAGTTCTTATCTCAATTCGGATTTGGTTGTCGTAATAATACGAGTATATATATTTTTTGTTAACGAATGTTCGATATATAATAAATTTGGTTATTATGTCCGCGGCGTAGTAAAATTAATAATTCAAAGGTTGATTGTTAAAACTATAATATTATTGTATTATTCAAATTCAGCCTTTGTAAATCGCCAATATCAGCCTTTGTAAATCGCAAATATCTCATCATAACGCGTTTGTACATTAAAGGTTGATCGAATTTGTGAATTTAATCATGGAGCACATATAATTTAATATAATTTTCAAATTGCGGTAACATTTATCACCGGTAGCAGCGCTCAGCATGAAACTCCAAGTTATTTGTATTGTATAAAATAGAATAACTAATTCTATATAAAGCATCGCATAGATTAGAATAGAATTATAAATTTGTATCCATGGTTCATGTAATAATAATTCTCTCTTAATTAATTAAGATTAAATTATTCTTAATAAAAATATCAGACATCAATTTAATATAATATAAACAATATATAAACTATACTAACAACATATAATTTAGCATATTTTCTAAATATTTACAATAATTCTCTGCAAATTTTTAAGCTTTAGAATTTTTCTTTGCTTTTATTATTAATATAATATGTACCGTGTATATCTGCCATATTACTATTTTACGATAGTTTTCACAAAGTAAAATTTGTTATTAAGATGGTTTTAAAATAGAAAAGTACGTAAACACTTTTTGAATATATTCTAGAAAGTTATATAACTTATATAATATATTATAAGACCGTATATGATAATTATAGAAATCAATGCCTTAAATGGTCTAGCTGGATCTTAAATACTTGTATTCTGTGTAAAGTTATATACTACATATGTAGTCCTTTAAAAAGCCGAAATCATTTTTCTTGAGACTCTAACTCTACTAAACTATCATAGTAATATCACGAGATAATTGACTAGCAATTTAATAATTTGATGCTTTTTCGCATTTTCAAACAATCTTAATAATGCTGAGTGACATATTAAAATCTGTAAATAATTAATTCTTATTGCCAAAAATAGTACCTTGGTCGGGAGTAGAACTCGGATCTCTTGCTTTCCGGGCAAGTGTCCTAAGCCTTTAAACCATCGAGACCTTAGTGATATTCCTCGCAATAATTAAGCCTTGATGGTCTAAAGGCTTAGGACGCTGACCTGGAAAGAAAGAGATCCGGATTCGACTCCCGGT